AAATTTAGATCAAAAACAAGAGATATTTTATTAAATTTTAATTTAGAAAAAATTTTGAAATAAAATATCATTTAACAAGTATACAAATATATATATCTGTAAGTTATCTGGTATATATTAGGTTAAGTACTAAGTATAAATTTTTAAATATTTGGATAAATATCAAGTTATAAAAAATTATATACGTAAATTTTCAAATTAAATATCAAATATATTTCATAGCCGATGGTACCCAAAAATGCTCACCCCCCTATTATGATCCTAACTCTAGCTCAATAAGATAGCCCATATTCATCGAAACTAAGGTCTAATTGGTATAAATTAATAGTTTAGCCCAACAAGAATTAAACCAAACTTATATGGACTAAGCCCACAATTTAAATTAGCAAAACCATTATAATATATATAAAACAAAATACTCATAAAAATTAGTAAAAGTACATACAAAGTTAATTAAAAATTAAATATTTATATTTTTAGATAAACTGTAATATGAAAAAAGGTTTGCTCAAAGTATTGTGAAACGAAGCTAAAGTTTAAAAAAAAAAAAATGAAAAAAATATGCCAATTATAAGAGTCAAACTCTCAAGTCTCAACTTAATAAACCAGAGACCCAAAACAACTATATCCAAACTGGCCTGACCTCTTTGCTAGGTATAACATCCTTTTGATCAATTATGCTAATTTTGTCTCATATTAGGTACGTTAACAATTTTTCCATGTTCCAAACACTTGAGTCCCTACAATCCACGCTTTGGAAACAAAATTTTCACTAAATAAAATCTGAAAAATCAAAATTTACTCCGTCCCCGAAGTGGAGGTAGCCTAATGACAGAATCCTTGATTTTCTTTCTTCTTCTTTTTTTTTTTTTTTTTATAAAGTAATGGTTAAAAAGTTAGTTTGAGTTAGTTGTTAATAACTGGGTATTTGATCTCCAAAACGAGTGAATATTTCACCTCTTCAAATGAGGCGTGCGACTATCAAACCACATTTGGTAGAGTTCAGGACAGTGATAAAGTTTGAAACTTTAACTACCTTCACTCAAACGCTTAAAATTTGGGATCAAACCATTATACCTAAAGTTTCAGTTACTTTATTTTCTTTTTATTCTGAGCCGAAATAAGTTTCATTCCTAATATTTTCATTTATTAAACCTATCTCTAGCATAGTAAGAAAGATAGCCCTTCTCTTCCTCCACCATCTCCTCTTCTTCGGCACATTCTGGCCTATTTTCGATGTCAGCATTAACTACGGAACTGTTGGAACCAACCTCCTTCACCCAAGAAAGTAGCTTAGCTCCTCCAATCCACCTTACTTGATAAGGTCAAAATCTACGACACCAATTCGGAAATCCTCGAAGCCTTCTGCAACACCGCCATTGATCCTAGGCTAGTTTTCACATGGTAGCCGTAGAAAACCAGCATGTTGCAAACTTCAGCGCCGACGTTTCAGCCGTCGACGAATGGCTTGCCACCCGTGGCGTCGCCTTCATTCCCGCCACCTCCGCTGTAGTTATCTGTGTCAAAAACGAGTACTTGACAACGAATTCCGGTCGACGCACTGGTACATGCAATGTAGAACCCATTTGGGGCTTGTAACTCGTGGGCTCGACCAAAAAATTTAGGTCACCACGCAGCACAGCATGGCGGTTCTCGCCTTGGGTTTTTGGCCGATACCGGAGCGCCGTTCATGATTAATGCTTACCCATATTTCGCCTACAAGGAAAACCCCAGTGCCGTCGATTTAGAATATGCTCTGCTCGGAAATGCCACCCGCGTCCATGACCCAAAAGGGTACATCTACAACAACATGCTGGATGCTCAAATTGATGCAATTAGATTGGCAATAAACACTCTGGGGTTTGGTAATCAGACGATCGAGATCACAGTTTCCGAGTCTGGGTGGCCGTCAAAAGGGGCTCCTGGTGACTCCACCGCCATGCCGGACAATGCAAAGAAATATAACACTTGGTTGATCGAACGAGCACACTCCAACAAAGGTACAAATTAAGTCTTCTAAGGTCTATCCTTTTTCTTCAAGAATCCCCACAGGCACCAAGATTCCATCTAAGAGCAACTCCTTCTCAACCCAATGCATTTCTAAGGTCTATCCTTTTTCTTCTTGGTTTCTCCTTTTCCCATAAGTTTTCTTGGATATTCATTTCTTATTTTGTTTTGTAAAGGTTGCAAGTAGCTGAGTTTTCTGAGGTGGTGGCTGCTCAGCTTACTCTTAAGGTTGATTGCCTACTTCAGCCTTTTAATCTTTTCTGAATTTTCTTTCTTGTTTTATGCTTGTGCACAGAGATTAGACCAGTCATAGTAATATCTATCTAAAAATGTTCAGTGCTTTCTTGCAATATTCGTCACAATTAAGCTATTCTGGAGTTCTAAGTCCATATAAACACTTTGTTTTGTATATTCTTCTAATAATCTCATCTTTTTTTTTTCTTTTTTTTTTTAAAGTAAAAATATTGATCAGATCTTCCGACCTTTGGATTAGGCTGCATGAAAGGAAATTTCCATGCCTTCAACTTTTCATGAATCTCATGATGTCTTCTATGAAAGAAAAAGCGCACCATCCTTGTGAATAATCAGCGATCTAGTAAAAAAAATAGAAAAAATGTACAAAGTATTTTCAACATGAACCTTATGTTCCTAAAATATAGTTTGTTGTGAGGCACCATTGTTGTGGTTCTGACTTTTGATGGCCTTAAATGTATTTCCAAATTTAGACAGTAGCATCAACTCCCATTAGGAGGGAAACAGTTGCCAAATTGAAGGTTGCAATCAATGGATTTGGACGCATTGGCAGGAACTTCCTTCGGTGCTGGCATGGTCGGAAAGACTCACCCCTTGACGTAGTTGTTGTTAATGACAGCGATGGTGTCAAGAATGTAAGTAACTGACAGTTTCCCTGACTATAGCTAACATTAGCAATTTAGCATGTGATATTAGTTAGTTACATTCATCAACTTCTGGTGTGCCATATAAACATAGGCTTCACACTTGTTGAAATACGATTCAATGCTTGGAACTTTCAAAGCAGAAGTCAAAATTGTGGATGATACAACTGTTAGTGTTGATGGCAAGCCAATTAAGGTTGTCTCTAACAGGGATCCTCTCTAGCTTCCGTGGGCTGATCTTGGCATTGACATTGTAATTGAGGTGGCTTCTTGCGCCTTCTTCTCATCAATTGCAGTTCTCTAAAGCATAATTTCTCTCAACAGCACAAACACTTTGGGTTCTAGTTTCATGTAGCAATCTTTTCAACAACTCTATTGCATTACTGAACTATGCAAAAGGATGGAAATTTAATTAATGACAAAATTTTAGTAGTCTTTTTAGATGACTGGATAAATTCATATGCATTCTTCAGGGAACAGGAGTTTTTGTGGATGGCTCTGGAGCTGGGAAGCACATTCAAGCTGGTGCTAAGAAAGTTATCATGACTGCTCCAGCAAAAGGTGCAGACATTCTAACTTATGTTGTTGGAATCAACAAAGGTGATTACTCTCACGAGGTCTCAAACATCATAAGGTTAGTACCTCCAAAGAAAGTTGATTGCTCATAAAGCAGTTTGAAAATTTTTTCCTAATATTCTTGATGCTCTAATTTATAAGTGGATCCATTTTGGTAATTGCAGTAATGCCTCTTGCACCACAAATTGTTTGGCTCCTTTTGTAAAAGTCATGGATGAAGAATTGGGTAAGCACTTCTTCACATTCATTCAGATATTAGCTCATTCGGTTCAGCCAAATTTCATATAACCACAGTAATGAATTTTCTTTGACTTCATTGAAAGTTTGAAACTGATGTGCAGGAATTGTAAACGGAACAATGACAACCACCCATTCATACACTGGAGACCAAGTACCTGCACTCACCAAAATACTAGGATGTAGAGCTTAAGCTAATTCAAAGAATTCTGAATTTCAAATGAATTCCAACTGCAAAAGTTAGAGATTCATTTTAACAAAGAAGGCTAAATTGCTTCTTGTGATCATCATGCAGAGACTTTTGGACGCTTCACACCGTGACTTGAGGAGAGCTAGGGCTGCAGCATTAAACATAGTCCCAACAAGTACTGGTGCAGCCAAGGCCGTCTCTCTTGTGCTACCCCAGCTCAAGGGCAAGCTCAATGGTATTGCACTCTGTGTACCAACACCAAGTGTTTCAGTTGTTGACCTTGTTGTGAATGTTGAGAAGAAGGGGATTACAGCTGAGGATGTCAATGCTGCCTTTAGAAAGGCAGCTGGGGGGCCATTGAAGGGCATATTGGCCGTCTGTGATGCTCCTCTCGTGTCAGTGGACTTCAAGTGCACCAATGTTTCTTCTACGGTTCTACCATTGACTCTTCACTAACCATGGTTATGGGAGACAACATGGTTAAGGTGGTGGCCTGGTATGACAATAAATGGGGATAGAGGTCAGGATACATTCCTTAAAACTTTCCTATTTCTAACCATAATCTTATTTGTGCCTTACTAGTTACTAACAGTAATATGTTGAATATTTGCAGCCAAAGGGTCGTTGATTTGGCACATCTTGTAGCAAGAAAGTGGCCCGGCATGCCTACTGCAGGAAGTGGTGATCCCTTGGAGGACTTCTGCAAGACAAACCCTACTGATGAAGAATGCAAAGTTTATGAAGCTTAGGTCATTCCAGTTTTCTTGTAAGGATGAATGCTATAATGACCAACTTTTTGCTGATGCTTGTTTTGTAGTGACAGTTGATTCATCATGAACAAAATAAGCTTTTGAAATAGCCAATGCAATTAATGAGATTGCTTCTAATTCTAATTTTATTGTTTTTAACTCTCAAAAACAAGATTAAGGAACATTATCCAATTAATTTCTATTTGATTAGTTAATTATTCTACAATTTTTTGTTCCATGTTAATTAAACCTATCGGTTAAACTAAACATCAGTTTTCCAACATAAAAATTTACTAGTAGGTTGATTGGTTGAAGAGCTTGACATACCAAAGCAAACTTGGGAAGGTAACCATGCATGTGTCTTCTCCATGTGAATGTATCCAATTGATAGAATTGTTTCTTTGAGCTCTTTTACTTTCCCTGACTTAGTGGCAAATGAATCAAGAAGTGAGCAATAGCATTATCTCTGCATGTTACTATTATTTTAAACATGAGAAATTGTAGGTTTCCAAGCCATCAGTGGGAGTTGAACTCCCAACCAAAGAGTTTAGGCTTGGGTGTTGAACCGTTAGGCTAGCTAGTTAAGGCCAGTTCCTCTACATATTAATTAATGACTAAACTAACTATGAAATTTAAATATCAACTTTTGTTGTATGCTTAATTTTCATGCATGAGAATGTTCCAAAAAAAGCAGTAAACTGGCGTTTTTAATCAAGATTTCACACTTATACCTACAGAAGATGAAGTTTAATTGCTTGGAGCCAATTTCCAGTGTATTTTATTTGTCTCCTCCCAAGGAAGAAGCATCTGGTGTTGCTCATCTAATCATTAACATTGTTTCAACCTCAGCCTCTTCTTTAGCCTGCATCTCATAATCATTGACAACGCTACAGACTACCTAACGTGTAACTGATTTTGAGGCAGATGTCTCTCCATTATAGCAAATCAAAATATCTGGACATAGGGCACTGTGAAATATGAAAATTTAGTTGAGTTCCAAGTTGCACAGAACTGTGTCTATACATTTAAAAAGCTCACTTCTTGAAGTAAGTATTCTTTTTAAATTTCCATGGTAGAAATTGACAAGTAGAGCTATACTATCCGACTGTATTAAATTGAATTGAAGATGTTTTTTTAAGGGAAAAATTCAGAGCAAATTAGCAAAGCGCAGGAATTATACCTGAATGACCCTTTTTTTCAATAGTAGAAATTGACAAGGAGTTCCTCTTTGTGGACTAAAAATATAGCAAATTTGACTATAAAACACATATGGTCATGGTAATATACCACCCCATCAGTGAAAGCAATTGTGCCCTATTGGTCTGAGCAACAGGAATGCATCCCATAGTAAAACCAATAATATAATTACGGTTTGTGCTGCAAAATACATACATACATTTCATGGAAGAATCAGAAGCATGAGCTATATACATAGATCTGCACGTATATATTTCTAAAGGAGAGAATAATTACGAATAGAGTTGGACGAGTAGACATACCAGAGTAGTAAAAGAAATGCTACAGGCCCTTCTCTTCTCCATTCTTACATATTTCCTTCGGTGTTCTACATGATACAAACCAAAAAGAAAGGGGTTTTTAAGGTGGACTACATTTGAAAACATCGTTTTGGAGTGGGAAAAGATAAAAATACCATTGATGGACATTGGAGACAAAATACATCAAAAAAAAGGGCCTATACCATACTATATATATATCCAAAATGGAAGCCGCCACCGTCTCCGTATGTTAAGGTCGTCGAACGGCACACTCAAAATGTAGAGCAAAGTTGCATTCAGAGTGGGGACATTTAAGAACCAGCTGATCTTTGCAAGGATGGCCACATTTATCGCATTCTGGAAAGGGATATTTCTCACTCTGGAAATATAAGAGAGGTCGTTGATGAGAACCACATCTAACATTAGAAATGCTACCACGCTTGATGAATGGGTATTCTCCAAGAACGCAATCGGGGTGAGCATCAAAATCGCACTCATCACACCGATAAAACCAAAGCTTTGGATCTCTTCTATCTTCACAGATTTCACACATGTGTTGAAAAGGATCACCATCATCATCCTTGTAAGGATCTTCATAAGTGAGTTGTAGAGCGTGATGGTGGAACCTATGTTCAGCTGTAAGGGGCCGTGTCAGGCATCTGTAGTCCAAGGCAAAAAATTTACAATTCTCCTCTTCCTTTGCTAGCGTGCATTTGTAACCACCATGATAATCCATTTTCTTACCGTGGACATCATTGCTCCACTCTTCAAAGTAGTGCAGTGGATGTTCATGAAGAAAGCCTTTGGGCTTCATCCTCTCTATATACATATCAAAATGCAGATACGTGAGATGGAAAATATAAGTTATTGAAAACTAGCTAGCTCGCTTCAGGTGAGGATGAGGTACCTATTAAAGCAAGGAGCACACCCTATTTATAAACTTTTAAAAACTACATGCACAAGGGAATCGCGTCGAATTAGACTCTTGCTTCTCGTTTCCATTATTCCATTTTCTTTCTCTTTTCTCTTTTGCCCATTTTCTTTTACTCTTTTTATTTTTCTTTTCTATTATCAGCTAATTAAGCAAACAATAATTAAACATATATTTCGTGACCATACCACCCGTCATGCCATGGTTTTTTTTTTTTTTTTTGTCGTCAACTGATGCTTACGGGGTTGGTTATTTTAGAATCATTTTAATTATTTATAAATGAGAAAAATATATATCAATTTTGATTTTTAAAAAATTAAAATTTTAATATTAAATTATGTCATAATATTTAATTAAAATTTAATTTAAAATTTAAAAATTTAACTTATTAAATATTAATATATAAATTTAAAAACTAATTAGATTTTTAAATATAAGTTAAGATTTCAATTTTTTTAAATATGGGGATGATATACATTAATTTCATATAAAATTGCTACAACAATAAAATTTTTCTTAAAATACTCAAATAAATATTCATGAGATTTTAAAAAATCCTCAATAAGTGCGAAATAAACTTTTTAGAAAAGGAAATAGTATCC